TGCTGAAGCATTTCAGCCAAAACTTTCTAAGAACAAACAACAAGCCCACACGACAGACAGCCAGCATGGGGACTTTTAGCTTAAGCGATTTAAGTCTGGCAACATGAATGGGAGCTCAAGCCAGAGCCTTACAGAAGGAAGCACGTTTTAATACTAGAAGTGTCACCAGTTCTGAACATAAGGAAGAACTTCTTCACTCTGAGGGTGACGGACCACTGGAACAGGCTGCCCAGGGAGGTTGTGGAGTCTCCTTCTCTGGAGATACTCAAGCCCCGCGGAGGGTTGGACTAGATGACCCACAGAGGTCCCTTCCAACCCCGACCATTCTGTGATTCTGTGATTCCCTGAGAGCCGGCGTTGTGATACCTTAGCAGCACAGGAGAAGATTAATCATCTTGAAAACCTGCTTCCCGGCCAGTGGAAACCAGTACCCAACACAGGAAACACTTAGGAAGCACAGCGATGGGACAACCTTGATAGCCGGCTATGGAAATCGCTCCTCTGAAAGCCATGACGCAGGATCTCAGTGGTTTGTACTGAGCCCTGGCTGATGGGGTGTAACCAGTGCCTCCGTCAGCCAGCTGGCACCCCAAATAGGCAGATTGCTCCGAAGAACCAGATCAGCAGAAGGGACAGCTTGGCCAGCTATGGACTTGAGGAAAGATCATGAACCTCTGGAAGCTGCCCTAGACAACCTGGACATGCTCCTGGATGAGCTGCTGGTTTAGCAGCTCTTCTGCTATAAAACAGGCCTTGTCAGAAGGCCATGTGTTAATCTTTGCTGCCAATGAATAATGAAATCAAAATGGGAGCCAGATCATATAAAAAAATAGTTTGGAATGAATGTGTGTGGGTATAGGTTACCTCCTATGATTCATACCATAACACATTGTTCAGTCAATAGATGGAGATTTTGATATTTTACTGTATATTTTCAAGTTATTTTTAAGATGGGCTCATTTTTAAGATGATCATACAATTTGGATCTAAAGCAGCACTTTTGACCACTAATTCAGTTATTTTGAGGTGGGAATATCCAGATCTGCTTCTGGATTTGGAAAATCCTAAAAAGAAATCAAGTTGTTCACGCTCTTGGTTTTATTTTCCCGAGGAACAGAATATCAAAGCAAAGCACAATCATGCATTTTTCTTGGGTGTTCCCCGACCAGCTATGCCAAAGCCCTCATGGGAAACAGTAACGTTGATTTCCTCAGCGCTCCGCTCCACATTGACCTCTTTGTTAATTTAACAAACAGTTTCACAGCTATTTGTAGTTCCAGTGAGTTCCCTGTCCGTGGCTTTATGATTTCCTCATTGCTGATGTTTCCAAAAAGTTAAGGTGATCCAGGGCTTGTTTTGTCCCTTGCACCCAAGTTTTCATGGATCACACACTTGAGGTCTTCTCTATTCAGAACCTGGCTTTTGTACTTCTCGCCCCAGTCCTCAACGATGTACTGATGATAGGGGTCATTGGAGTGCTCTCGCCTCTTTGATTTCACAGTGCTCACCAAGATCGCCACAATAATGAAGGAGAACATCCCAATCATCACCATCAAATAAAGGATAACATAGTCAAAGTTTTCGGCATCAACTTTGGCTTGCAACTTATCTGCCGCTTCTGTCATGTTTTTCCTCCAGCTATTCATGTAAGTGAGAAACGTTTCCTTGAAAATATCTTCCACCGCCCAAGTGAAGTTTTGCATTTCAGCCATCCTTCCAAGTCACAGCTACTAAAGACAACATGATACTTATTTTAATCAGATATCTATACTAAAGCAGTTACATTGGTTTCTTCTGTTTGCATTATGATAACTAAATAATAACACCTGCCACTTGCCAGTGAAAATGTAGTACCAATTACAGATCAGCTGAGAATCCCCATCTCTGAGTGTTTCAATATGTTCGGAGGCCTTAGTCCCTTCAGAGGTCTCAGTCCCCTCCTCACTCAGGTCACTTTTGGTCTGTGGAAAGCCACATACGCTCTGGAGAAGTCCCGTGAGCATGGGCCCCCCATGAGCTGTGTTGCAGGGGTCGAGGCACCCTGCCTTCCCTAGCGAGGCAATAGCGATCGGGACGATTTGAGGAAAGCCGCTGTCGTTTTCTGCCTTTCTGGTCTAAAGGGAAAGTGACTGGACTGCAGCCTGCTCGCCTGGAAAAAGCAAAGGGTCTGGTACAGTGTTTCGGTCCTGCCCTGCAATGCTTGAGGCCAACCAAGCCCTCCAACGTGGGGCAAAGCTTCCGCAAAAAGTCACTTGATTTCAGGGCAGTTTTCGAGCAATGGTGAGCTTACTGCAGCCTGTGGTAAGGGATGGTGAGTTTTCATCACTAATAAGAAATTGTGGTGTTTGAACTGGAGTTCAGCAATCCACCTTCCTCTGCTGGTTGGGCTAGCCTTGCGATATCAGCATGCTGAGAGCAGGCACACACACACAGAGGACGCAGGTACATGTGCACATAGGTCTCTACACACACTCGGGCGTAGGGGATAAAGATGGTCTAATGAAGTAAACAAGCAGAAGAAAATCCAAATACAAATGGTCTTGAATTTTTTTTGTGTGTGTAAAATCTCTCTGCTTTTTCTTTTATTCAGAACAAAAAAATTATGATGCTTTTTCAATAGGAAATAAAGAAATGCAAACAGAATCTTACCTTTCCCGTGTCCTTCTGTAGTGAGATTCACAGTAACTCAGAATTTTTAAACTCCAGTGAATAATGGTGATGATGCTCTCGAAAGGAGCAGAGGTATCCTGAGCAGTAAGTAGCCTCCAGCCTGCAAAATGCTATAAGCAAGGTGCCTTGTACTGCACGCTTTGTGTTTATATTAAATGCTAAATCTAATCTCACCTGGAAAGTCAAATATTGGCTGACAGCTTACCTCAGTCATCCTGTCAGATGCTGAGTGCTATTCTTTATGCTTATTACTGCAATTTCAGATAAAAGAGCACTGTTATGCTTTCTAGGGGTAAACATCGATGGAGCTCGGTCTTTGTTGACCCAGACAGAAGAAGAGTAAAGATGAGCTCTACAAAATAGTGGTGATGAGGATGAGGATGAGGATGATTATAATAATAATATTCCCTGGGCTGATATGGGCACGAGAGGCTGAGCACTGAGCAGGCAGTGCAAAAGGCCCGCCAGCCTGTCAGGCAGCTTAGCACCCACAGTTTGTCCTTCCTTTTCTTCCACCAGGATCACACTTGTTAGTGACCAAGCCCTCCATGAAGCCCTTGCTGTGAGAAGCAGGTCCTCATACGCAGCCAGGACCAGCTCTGTTCTGTGTGTGCCTCGTTAGAAAAAAGCAGAATTAATTAATGTTGATTTTATCTCTAGCAAATAGCACATGCTCACACCTAACTGAAATGCTCTGAGTCACACCTTGGAGGACAGCAGTCTGCTCAGTGAAATGAGACAACTTGATTTTTAGTCAGCAGCGGTTCCTGGCTATGATGGGGACATCCAAGGGAGAGGGATCAGGGTAGGACTGTGATGTGCAGTGCTCCACAAGCACATGGGCTGGGACAGACCGTATGTAAAAAATATTTCAATTTTACAGGTAGTCCTGCCTAAGCAATTTGCAGAGAAAGCAGTTTCTCAGGTAGCTCTGCTTTGAGGAAGATAAAGCAAACATGGACTACCACTGAATCAACAGCACGTGTCAGAAAAAGGGAGATACGCTCTTGGTACAGAAAGATGTTAATTCCTGAGGAAGCCCTCCTGGTACAGCGCTGCTGACATTGTCATGGTTACTGCTGTCGCTGCTTGTGGATGGCTGTCTGTGCACGAACACCTCCCAGCACGGGGGTGAGCTGCTGGCAGCATTTCCTCTGTGATCCCCGGCTCGTCTCTGGCCGTCTCCCATGTGCCCTTGGTGTGGCCCCTTGAAGTCAAGGTAACTGGGACGTTCATTCTGTTTGCTTTGGTGAAACTCATGAGCCAGAGGGACCGTGGCAAGCCCAGTCTCCTGTCCCGTGCCACTGGCGACGCGCCCGGGTCCGTCCCACCTGGATAAAGCCACCTGGAGCCACCAGCATGCTCTCGGAGGAGCACCCAGACGCAGGGCCGTGGGCCTGGCTGTGGAAATACGAGAGGAGCCATGGAGGTTCCCGAGCAGAGTAGCTCAGGAACTGCTGCCCTGGACTGCCGGTTACTGGGTGAAAGGACTTACCCATCCTTCAACCAGCTCTTCTACCATCTGTTCCTGGCGGGTCCTGCTTGGCCGATACTTACAGGCATACGCTCGCACACAGGCATATCTACGTATATAAAAGATGTGTATGTTGTCAAGCAGACATGAAGTTTAACTGCCAACTCTGTTCTCAACCGCACCAGAAGAGTCCTTGAATAATCCCGTTCTGCTATGTGTCCCGCTGAAGGTCACGTTTGCTAAGGGTGTGCTTAGTCTCTAAAGCAGTGAGGTGATCAAGGACAGGCTGCGTAGAACTGGTTAAAATGAAGGAGGAGCAGCCAAACATCATGGGCAGGGAAAGTGACTGCCTTAATACTAGTCTCCCAAATGGAGAATAATATGAAGTAAAATGCTCCTAATCTCAGTGGAGAGAGGTAGGAATGGCTGGTTGAGCCTCCTGTCTCCACCCCAAGAATGACTAGGTCATGGCCATCAGGAAGAGTCCCTGGTGACTGGAAGAAGGAAAATGTCATGCTCATCCTTGAGAAGGGCAAGGAAGTCCCGGGGAACTGAAGGATGATAAACCCCACCTCAAACCATGTGACGATTAAGGGAGAAATCATTCTGGAAGGCATTATCAGGCGTGTGAAACATGATTGGAAATGGCCAGCATAGGTTTACCAACGGCAAAGTGCGCCTGATCAAGCTGGTTGCATTCTATTGCGAGGTGATGAGAGGACTGCTTCAGTGGATGAAGGCAGAGTGATTGTGGTGGTTTACCTTCGCTTTAGCAAGGTTTCAGCATGGTCTCTCATAATATCCTTATAGCCAGATTGGACCAGATGTGTGGACTCCAGAACTAACTGGGCCACTGTTATGGGCAAGATACAGTAAATGACATCCCATAGGACGTCTGGATGCTGGGCTTCATGAGAACCAAGGAGATTAGTGCTTTTACACCCATCTGTCAGCTCCATCACAGCAACTGGCCATTCACTGATGTGGCAACATCTGCTCTGGCCTCCCAGGTGTTGTGGAGCAGGTGGGTCCATCCTGTGACAGGGTGTTGTCGTCAGCAGGAGGTACACCACATGCAAACATGCACAGTATTTAACAATTAGTATAGACAACATTAGAATTGGATGTGTTTTCACATGTAGCAACCCTGTAGTCTTGAAGGCACCATTCGAGGAAAACGTTTTCTTTTTAGGTGTACAGTAGGCCCAGAACTGAATGATATTCGATTATTCAGAACATTCATGACTGATAACCCTTCAGGGGCTGTCGAGCAATGTATTCATTTGTTGACTGCTTTACAAATCCTGTGTTAGCCTTACTGGTGAGATGGCGAAGAAGGTAGCAGACATACTGAAGATCTTGTGATTAGACCCAGAGCTCGTAGGAGGGTTTATGTGAGTTCATTAGCAATTCATCTCTCCCGACATTTTGCAATATCTGTTGTGAACACACAAAGGGGTACTCATAAATAAACACAAATATGCATACACATAACATACATAGATCAGTATCTATAGGATTGGAATGGGTTGCTCAGTTTTCTGTGTTTCCTGTAGAAGAGAAGATTAGCAGAGATTGCTATTGACAGTGATCTTTGTTCCCCAGATATTTCCCTTCATAGGAGCATCCAGTATACTAGGTCACTTTTTTCCAGTCCTCCATCAGTTGTTTCCCTGTATTCTCTACAATACACAGATAAACATCACACTTTATTTTAAATATGCAGCTGATATATTTATACACAGCTTTTGCCGTCTTCTTTTTCCTTCTGTTTCTTTAAGGTGAGGAAGTTAACCATACATAATTCATGAATTATTGAGTTCTTTACTTAGGATCATGAATTTCATAGGGTTAATTCTTAGAAGCAAAAGAATGTAGCTGTTAAGTGTGGTTATTAGAGAGGTATGAGTATCCTTACTTATGCACCTGTGTAATTTTCCTTCAGTATTTCTTGTGTCTGGTTAAATCATAGTATTGTACTATTCACTGTGCCTTTCAGACCTCAAACCTTTGTATACACAGGCTTAACCTACAATCTTCTCAGCCTTTAACTACTGATATGCTATGCTGCTAACTACTGATACTTAGACTGCTGATAGCATTTAATTAGCTTCCCTACCGCTTTAAACTTTTTACCTGCTAGATAGCCCTCCTAGATTCCTTCTGGTATTTACACGTTTGCTTAAAAGAACAGTAGTGAAATTGGCAGTTCTGTCCCTGGGTCTGTCTGCTGCTTTTCAAGTTGTTGTCTGTCAGCCAGTCACCCTGTAAAATGAAAAGACCTACCAAGGCCACTGGGATTTTATAGTTTGGCCTTAACTGTGACTGCTGAAACCTTTCCTCTTAAGATTGCTAAAGATTACATCTATTAATTAAGTTTGATCTGTTTCTTTATGTTGATTTTTGTTTATAATCCAATTTTTACTACGTCGGGACATTTTCTAGCTGCTTCTGGTTTCATGTAACAGTGTTGGTAATTCAAGATGCTGCCTCTTTATTTTTTGTTTTGCAGCTGTGCTTCTAGGTCTCTTACCTCTTACTTGCATTCTTGTGCTGAGCCTCTGCAGT